GTATGTCTAGTTGTTCTAGATACCTTTAAAAAAATTAGCGCTAGAGACCTTTATCTCGAGAACTTATTAGTAACTAACTAACGTTTAAAGCAACATCGACTTCATATATTCGAGTTTTTTTTTCAAAAATACAATACAAAGCACCAGTTTTGAAAACAAAATGTTACATTCTGTAGACAACTTCTGAAACTAAAAAAAATTCTATTCAAAGTTTTTTCTGAGCATACCTAGATTTTTCAAAAAATTGATTTCATTTTCGTTAGAGATATGATAGGGTATGAATCAGAGATGGAACCAGTACGACTTTTAGACCGATCGGTAACCGGTAAACCCACCTGTCTAACCTTTTCAGACCACTGTCAGTTCTAGTTGTCAAAAATTTAGACTAGTTCCATCTCTATATCAGGTATGTGATACAACTTGGCAAATAAAGTTTGTCACACGATGAACCATGTTCTCCATATCTGAACCATTTTTTTTTCGGACTGTGAATTATCGATGTATCATGCGTTACCGGTAGATCGGTCGGTAGCCGGTACACCGGTTCCATCTCTGGTATGAATATACATACAAAAAACTGCTCTTATAACTGAACGAGAAGTTCGAAATCAATGCTAAACAATTTAAATCCTCTTTTCGAATCTGTAGATGATGGTAAGATAAAAAAGTTTTTTTCGGAATTTGATAGGATTTCTAGAAATATCTAAAAAGATAGTTTTTGATAACAAATAACGACTTTACACCTAGAATAATGAAACAATTATCTCTAAAACACTTAGTATAATCTTTAAGACTCGGAAATATAACTGATTTATAGACAATAGCGGACTTTATAACTCACGAATAACTTTTACGACTCTTAATATTGTCTAGCTAACTAAACAAAACTCTCCGAAAGAAGTTTACTATGCTTATATAAAAAGATGAAAAATTTGAATGTAACTAAGCAAAATATAATTGATACAGTAGTGGCAAACAAGTCTCATTACTATTGAAAAAGCACCTAAACTTGAATTCTTTGGTTTCATATTTTGATCACAAATAGAGTAAGTCGAACTCCGATAGCAAGGACCCATGAGAACCTGAATGGCCTTCATATAAAGGAGCTCGAAGGTCAATATAAAGTTTTTCTTCCAACAAAGATATTTCAATATGGGAAATACATATCATTGCGTTTGATCATTTATACCAAAGTTCATTGTCGCCTCTATCATGAATAAACATTTTATATCAAATAGTTTTACTTTGCCTAGTTTATGAATTAATTTTTGAGTATTCTAGACATAACAGTTGATCGGTCTCGTCATCTTTTTTCTACAAACTTCATGATTTTAGCCATCAACAACTGAGAGATCTGTCCTTAAGTCATCCGAAACAATGACAGCTTCCCATCTCTGTATTTTACTGCATTGAAGTACTCTATCTACAACCTAATATAGCCAGGCGAAGCTTTATTTGTTAACAAGAAGAAGCATGTTAAAGCATCAAAACCATGAAGAACCAGAAAACTGTCAAAAGAGTCATGTTTGAACTCTGGGAGAAAAGATGCTATGTTTGTAATTAACATATTATGCAAAAGACTTGAAGTTCATATAGTTTTAACTCAGTAGCGAGACTTCTTGCGACGACTGAAATACACTTTCTTGTTGGTTTATTTATTAATCCTAATATCTATTTCAGTGACGTACGTATTTCTGATCGACTTGATGAAATTGATAAATGGCGTAAAACTCTTGAATATACAATTCAAGATGTTGATCGTGAAATTCAAGCTATTCAGTCGGCTAAAGAACAATGTGAGCGTTATTTAGAACATATGCGAAGTCCATTAGGTAAATAATTATTTAAAAAAAAACCAAAAGCATATCGGGTTTTATTATTTTTTTTAAAGATGTTTCATTGGAAAATTATGTCACACGTGATGGACGTAAAGCAATTGATAATGTTGATGATGAAGCAGAACGTGAATTAAAAAAGGTAAATTAATTAATAGTATAAATAAATAAACGATTTGAAAGCCAAACAATAAAATAATTTGATTCATCTAAAAGAATACATTGTTTTATACATTCATTATATTGAACATATTCAATTGATTCTTGATTAACAAATAGAATACGTTGTTTTTTATAATCACATAATATCCAATCTAATGTACGTTCATAACCAGTTAAACCAGAGATACAACCAATATTATTTAAATCAATATGATAATATTCTTTATCAAGTAATGAATCATATACATATAAACAATAATCTTCATAATGTTTTGATGAATAACGACCATAACATATAACAATACCAATATAATTTTCAAATGCATGTAAACCATGCATTGTACCATCATCAAATTCAAGATCACAAACATGTCTAAATTCATATTGAGATAAACGTGATAGAACTGTTGAAGTACATGTTGATGTAAAAGAAAAATAACCATGATAAATTGATGATGAGTTGCATACAAGATATCGAATTTGATTATTATGATCAAGACTAAATGGAAAACCAGGTAAAAGAATTTCATATTTAACTTTACATTGTCGAAGATTATAAACATATAAACTTGATGTTGATGCTACTAATAATTCATTTTTATATTTATTATAACATATACCTATGTAATTAATATTTGATGATTGAAAACATATTTTTTCATCACATTGTTCTGTTTCAATATTATAAATATCAACATGTGTTGAATTAGCTAAAAGAATTTTATTATCATAAAATTTTGTTATTGGTTGACAATAATATTGACGATCAAAAAGATAGATTATTTTTTGAGGATTATTTTGCCATAATGTTAAATTATTTAAACTAGAACTTCGATTATTATTTACTTTTTTTGGTATTGAAAGCTCAAATATAATTGTTGAACTTGGTAATGAACTTGTACGACGACGATGATGATCACGATAAGAAAATCTATAATTAGGTTTGATATTTAAACAAGTTACAAAACGAGATTGACATTGTTCATCATCATCACCTTCATCATCACTTGATGCTAATTCAACATGATAAATAATTGGTGATGATAATGTTTTTGTTCGATCATCAAATTTTTCTGTAATTGTTGATACATATGCATAATATTGAACTTCATTCTCATTTGAAAATAATATTGCATTAGTGCAATTGATAGGTGGTATAATAGTTGTAGTTTCAAATAAATTATTTAATTCTTGTTTATCAGATAGAAGAAGTTGTTCTGCATATGATAAAGATTGTTTATTATCATATTCTTTACTATTCCGTACAATTAATTTAGCTTCATCGACAGCTGTTTTAATTTTTCCATTAATTGATGAGGATTTTAATAATAGAAGTTCTCGTCGGCGAGTTTCAGGAGTTGAACTATTTGTTCGAATACGTGGCATTAAGCAAACCTTGATAATACTAAACTAAGAAAAAAGCAGCGCACATACATGCATATATAAGAATAACAACATTCTTTTGCGTAGGAAGTCTACGTGATCGATGGTATCAAACGACAACTTCATCAACAAGTACAAACGGCTTTTGATCAAATTGCTCGTCTTAATGAAGCTAAACAACAACTAATTCGAGTATATTTTATTGAATTTAGAAATGCTTTCTCGATAGTTAATATTATTATATAATTTAGGATTTACAAGATAAACATACAGCTTTTGGTATATGTGAAGAAAATTTACAATTAAATGAATTTTCACCAAATATTAGTTATAAACCTGATCCATGTCGACCAATCAAAGGACAAATAACACCAGAAGAATGGTATGCTTTTTCGAAATATAACAAAGATCGTGCAGAAAAAGAAAGTATAAAAAAGAAAGAAAACTAGAGTTTCTAAAAATATTTTTCATTGAAATGTTTTTTTTTGAAGTGTATGAATCCGTACGTCTTCGTGAAAGTATATTTCATACAATGGGTCAATCAGCTGCTGATCTTGAATCACAAGGAAAAACAAGTGAATATGCATTACGAAAACGTCTTCACGAACTTGAACGAGCACTCAAAGAACTTGAATGGCAAAAGAAACAAGTAAGTCTTTTTTTCTTGAAATGCGATCTTAAAATTTTGGATGCTCCTCACAGACTTTGATATACGGTCTAAGACCGTCTATGAATAATAGGGAGATAAAGCAGCTTTCTTATGATCAATAACAGCAGCTACATCGTATTTTATATTTTAACCCGGCAGGGACTGTACTAAAAGCTTTTATTTTTAGATTCATGAATTTTTCTTATTGTGTATTTTAGACGGAAGAAGAAATCCTTAGTAATGAAAATGATATTGATCGTTTAGAAAAAGCGATTCGAGGTAAAAGATAAATGTTTTGAAAATATTATTGCATTAATTATTTTATTTTAGATAAAGAACCATTAATTAAATTAGCAATGACACGACAAGAAAATCGTCATAATAGACCTGGAATGGATTTAGTTCGTGATGAAGTTTCATATGGAGTATATTTATTTATTTACTTATTATTGTGCTTATTTCATATTTTCTATCTAAAATTTAGTTATGTGATGAAATTCAACAATTAAAAGCTGAAAAACGTGCCTTAGAAGATCAATTAAAACAAACAAAGTAATAGAAAATTTATAAAAAAAAATATTTTCCCTTTTTTGTTTTAAATTAATCTCATTTAGACATGCATGGAATATTCTTCAACAACAATTACATAGAATTGAAGATGAAATAGCTGTTAAATCAAATTCAATAATGCTTGAAAAACGAACATTAGAAACTCGACGTCGTCTTAATACAGAAATAACACCAAATACAGAAACTGATCGTAATCGACAATTACTGAACATGGATTCAAGTGGCCTTCGTCCAATTCTTCAATCAATCTATTAAAATTTTTAATCGAATTCATTATAGACATATATTTTCACTGTTCCATCTATAAGTGTGCATGTGTGTGTTTCTATATCCCATTTTATTCTTAATATGTCAAAAAGAAAAATGAATAACGCGAACAAAAATAATGCGATAACAAATTTTTAGTTAGTTTTTTTTATTTGAAGTGTCATTTCTTTGAATTGATATATATGAAATTGAACAAGTATGATCAAGAAATAAACACATGAACAAGCACTAATAAGAACAATCCATAAATCTGGATAACGTACGGGTGGTTGAATATAAATAGCAGCGATTAACAGTGGACATGTTATTATTATGCATAAAATTGACTGAAAATTAAAAACAAAAGAAAATGCAATTCAATATAAGAAAAAATGATTTGAACATACGAAAAATAATTGAATTATTGATATTTGATTTAAATGTATGTATAATCGTTGAAAAGCAAGAATAGAAAAACCCAAGAATGTTAACCAGAAGATAAATACAAGATTATCTTTTATCATTAAAGGAAAGGCACTAAAAAAAACCAAATTTTTGTAAATTCAAACCTATGAATCTAGCATTGGATTGTTTCTTCTTATGATAAACTCGTTCAAGAAATCTGTTCAGATCTATTATCAGTTTTCGCTCGAGACTATTGTCAACAGATAGAGCTCAATGAGTAAGTAACGAATAATTGAAGAAAATTTTTCAACCTCTTGAGTGAGCCTGCAGAAACTTGACAACATTGAGCAGATATCAGAATTTTATGTTATTTTAAAATATGGGCTTAAAATTTTGTGTAGAACTTCTGGATTAGGAGATAAAAGTCAACATTTTAGGGGTCTGTAGACTAAGTTTAAACGAACTTCAGTGTGTGAAAGTTTACGTAAAGTAGAAGCGACAATTTCAAATACAACGAATAGAAGACTTCCTACAAAAAACTACAATGTTATTTGGTCAAACTTAATTTTCGTGTCTCGATAAGGTCAGCTCATAACTTCTAAACTAGAAGTTCTAGAGAAATATTGAAACTATACTTGACAACAATAAATCATTTTAATTCGAACTCAATTATTTTCATATTTCTCCAAACTTCTTTAAGAAGCTGAAAACTAAATGATCATTCTGTCAAAGCATTTAAGAATTTCAGAATGTTTAAACAAAGTCTCTTCGATATACGAGTTTTTCAAGATACAGATGCTTTTCTACATAAACTATAGAAAAAATGCATCTTTCGGAATACTCAAATCTTGAAGTGACTTTGTTTAAAGATTCTAACAATTTTTATGGAAAGCTAGTTTAGTTGAACTTTTCATGTAGGTAAAGTTTCTGGTAGAATTTCAAAATTATAATTTTTTTTTGAAAATTAGAATTTTGATATCTCAGTTTGGAAGACTCATGAATCGAAACTAAGATAGACTTTGCAACTACTTACTAAGGTCCATCTAATGAACGTGGTATCGAGCGAAAAGAGTTTTGCGCTTGAAAGAGTTTCTTGATAAATATTTAGACTTGAACTTTTATAAATTACACATTTGCATTTCTTAAAATCGATATCAAAATTAGAAATCTTCATTTAATTTCTCTATAATTTCTTCATTGTTCAAAAAATTTCGTTTACAAGCAACAAAACTAAAAGTATTTAGAAATATGAATCGTTATACTAATACAGATCGATTTTGATTTTCTTGTTGTCGTATAACATCAGAAAAGTATCAAATTGCTTACCTAATCATAGCAAATTGTAGAAAAGCAAAACATTCAGCAGGATATGTTGCTGAAAGCAAAATCAATGGTCTATAATACATATTCATTTCTACATAAAATAATTTGCAAAGAAAAGAATAGAATACATACAAACATGGAAGTAAAATTGTTTTTTCATGAACTTGGAATGAGAATAAATAGAAACAAAGAGAAACATTAAACTAAAAGATTGAAAAAAATAACAAAAGACTACAATTAGTATCATTATTTAAATGAATAGAAAAAGTCTTACAAGACTAATATAAAAATTTCGAACTGTTGGTCGACGAAAAAGCATATAACATGATGGTAAAATACTCAATGATGTTGTCAATAAACTAATTACTTATATAAATAAATAAACGAAACTTGAAAAACAAAGCAAATATTTACCATAATTTAGCTAATGTTCCATGTTCAAATTTTGATCGTAGTTTAACAATTAAATTAATTGTACACCAAAAGTTGGCAACTTTATCCTAACAAACAGTTTCATATACAATTTTGTTTTTAAATAATTCATTAGAGGAAAATTTTACTTCATATAAACCTCTTTCGAATGGAAAAAGTCGTTTAATGACAGCAAGAGGCTCATGTCTTAATACTGGTATCCATATGATAAAAAATGTTGTAATTACAACGAGCCCCAATGATAAAAATGTCTTCAATCTTAATTATTAATAAAAAATTATTATCATTAAGAGAAAAAAAGCAACCCATCAAAATTAGTGGTCCATCCAGAGCTAGAATGCTATATATGTCGTTTGATACACTAGTCATAATGCTTGACAGATATTATAGGATATTCTAAGACAAACTTATGCAAATCGTTTTCTAAACTTAACTTGATATAGTTATAATTGTTGTTCATTTTTCTATAACCCATAGTTTTTATTGTTGCTTTTTTCATAGCTAAAAATGGTCGGTTTTTTTATGTCCAGACTATTTCTTGATTATATGATATTCTAGTGTATTTGATTCTATGTCATAGAATAAGTGAATATGAGCGTGAAACTTCCTGAAAACTTGCATTCTATCAAACTCAATATGTTTCATACATAATATCTTTCGAAGTCGCAAGGACATCGAATTTTAACACATAAAAATTTTCATAAAACTTGGTTTCTTATATACCATTCGATGCGCCGCAATTTATTCTACAAAACCACATATATAGCATTGTAGTTCAGAATAGGCTATCAAATCCAACAGGATCCTTTTTGTTTTATTTACTTGATCTTTCTTTCTTCAAAACAATATGCTGATAACAGATAGACAAATATAGGTATAGCATGATAAAGTTCCATTTGTTTGTAATTAAGTGATAATGTAAAAAACATAGCTGAAAAAAGAATTAAATTTTTTTGAGTAGCCATTACAAATGTAATCAATGCTAAACCAAGGCTAATAGAATTATATTGAAAATGACCATGATCAATTAGAATTAAAAGAGGATAAAAAAGATTTGTTAATAATACTGTAAACTATAAATACAAACAACAAGTTCAAAAGAAATAAATATTATAAATAAATGAATGTGTTAACTTTTTTTGTTGCGGTATTCTTATTAAGTAAATCCGATCGATAAGCATAGAAAACAGCTGGATAATAGATAAGAAGATCAGCAATAAAGACTAATATGCAAAGTAAAATATTTCACTTAAAATGATTTCATTTCAATTTTTTTCTTTTACTAACCAGTATAACGCATGAATAGTTTATGTGAACTACTTTCATGTCCATGTGATTCTTTCAAAGCACACCATATAGGATTAATTTTATTCGAACTAAGAATAAAAAGTACATTTCAAATTAAATATTATTTAAAAAATTACTTACATCCATCCACAAATATATGAATGATAAGCTGTTAATAATGGGTAATCTAAACCCCAATAAGTTAAATTATTTAAAGATGAATTTTGATACCTGAAATAAAAATAATGATATAATATTTTCTTTTAATCTATTTTTATTCTTAACCATTCATTAATCGGTAGATTGACTGTTAATTCCATCCAATGACGCTGTGCTTCGAAATCTCCAAACATTGGTGGTTTGTTATACCCTTAAATAAAGAATTTTAGAAATATTAATAATAATTCTAAATTAGTTTCAAGTGGCGAAGCCTGACAAAATAGGCATTTTCCCATACACTAAGCAAACATGTGATTTTTTTTATTTAGAAAGACCTTATTTTCTGCTCAATATTACTTTATTATCTCTCTAATGTCAATATAATCTGAGAAAATCATCGAGAGAACCTTACTCTCTCTCTCTCTCAATATATATATACTATCTTCAATAAGAAGACTAATACATTGCACATCATTCGATGCTGATTCTCAATATGAAGTTAGTCGTCAACAAGTGTTTCTATGTAAGTTGATACATTTTCTGGAAGTGTTATCAAATTAAAAGTTGTGAAACATTGCACAAGCTCATCTATACTGAACACATGTTTCCGTAAAAGCATTTTATGGCAAAGAAGATTGATTTATTTCGAATCTGGAGCAGATAAAAGCAAATGTTGTTTGTTTACGAATTGATAGAGTGACAGACACGATTTCAGATTATATTTAATTTTCTTAGAAATTTTTTTTTCTAATTATTTTTTTGGTTCACAATAGCAGTGTTTTGTGGCTAATATTAGCAAGAAAAACAATAACTTTTATATCATTAAATAACCCATAGATCAGAGTATATGTTGCCCTCTTGAAGTCGTCAAAAATTACACTTTCAATTTTTCATCAGACGTTCTCCGAGATGCCAATAGTGGATACTTCCTCAATCTTGAAAAACTTTCGTTTTGTTCCACCGGAGTTTCAGCATTTTATTATTGTTTTTTTTTGCTCAGCGATTCCAAAAACCGAACCAACTTTTTAGCTAAAATCGTTTGGTCCACCTCGAAAACCATTCTTGCAATCCTTACGACTTTGGGACACTCGTAAATAATTGAAAGCATTTACCTGAATAAGGATATAGAGCAATAATCCATCGCATAGCAATAGCTGATGAAAGTAATCCGAGAAAAAGAAGGTAATCCATTCTGAAAGCAAAAATAATCCGATGTACATTTTAAAAGTAAGAAATTATCTTTAAGATATATAGAAAACACAAAATTTATTTTGTTGTAGTTATTTTATTTTATCTGACTATATTATCTAGTTAGTTTTTACATGAGCATATACATAAAGTCAACAAAAAAAAAGAAAATAAAGTAAAAAAATATATATATCTGATAAATATGAATAGTTTATTCATCATTTTCTTCTTCTTCTTCATCTTGTTCTTCTTCATCTTCTTCATCTTGATCTGGTTGAACATCATTTGAATCCTCATCAATTGTCGAAGAATTTTCATCTAAAATTTAATGAAAACAAAAAAATTCTGTGTTTTTTTGTATTAAAAATTTTTTTTAAAGATTTACTTTCATCTTCTTCATGTTGTTGACGATAAGTTAAATCTGCTAATTCATTTCCTTTTAAGTCTTTTGCTTTTAATTGACCAATACAAAATACATTAGCTGGACAATTATTAACATCAACCATTAGTTTAGCTCGACACATAAGCATTTCAAGTGTACGTTTTAATGCTGGTATGAGTCGTATACACGACATATGTTTTTGATCTTTTTTAACCATATTGCAAAGTGATTGTAAAAGTCGAGTTGATTTTTGTAATATAGTTAATAATTGTTTTATTCCATATGTATCATGTAAAAAATAAAGATCTAATGTTGGCATTGCACGAGCTCGAAATACATCAATATATTGTTTAGAACAACGAAGAATAGTTGAAATAACCTAAAAGAATATGTATCACAAAGTTTACTAAGATCAAATAAAGACAAAAGTACTAGGATATTGAGAATACTATTAAAATAAAGCAAAAAGGAACTGTTTGCGCAATTCCCACGGGATTAAAATGTGACATGCCACGTAACTGCTGTTGCTAATCAGAGAGTGATTGTTTTCTTCGATCTATTTTGGGACACATTTCTTCACTATACTTTAACTTGAGTCTTCAGAAATGGAATAAGGAAGAAGTAACCGAGGTGTTATTGATATAAGGTCTGTGAGAGAGAGTGTCGGTTCAAATATCTACCTCTACACTGCAACACTCCTTGTAAATCGTTTTTACAAATGATATATAATTCGAATCAGCATAATTAAAATTGAAACACAGATGTTGACTTTTTTTTTCTCTATAAAGCTCAAATCTTCAGACCATACAATAAATATCAAAATGAAGGTATGCATTTATTATTCGACTGTATATTAATCGAACTCGGCACACATTGAATATTGTTGTACTTATGTCTATTGATCTCCGTTGATGGCTGGCAAATTGATGAGTACCTAATTCGAGAATTATATTTGCTTTCTGTTTCTTATGTAGCAATAAAACTTTCTCTGATAGTTTTTGATAAACGAATAAAAAATATAGCAATTATTTGAACATTTATTCTATGTAATTTTGTTTAAATGAATCCTTCGTTTCTGATATGGTTGATTCGGTTGTATGACTTTTGAATAAACGAGACCTATGGATAGACGCTTCTTTTTCGTTGATTTTGCTATTTAGTATCATTAAACATAGAAAAGTTTCAAACAACAAGACACTTCTCTGACATTGAACACTTGTTTTGCTATTATATAGTGATATTACTCATGTTTTATAAATATCTTGAGAAAGAATCAACATTTGACAAAGGAAATCTGCAGGGACGTAAAACTCAACTAAATTATCTTGACGATAAAATGGTCAATTTTTCTTATAGATATTGGATGGAAGCCTTTGAAAACCATTTCTCAATCAAATTTAAGTTTCAATGGGATTGATCGATAGCGAAAACATTTCTTTGTCGATATATACAAGATTGACTTCTCTAGTTTATTCTATTCAATAGTTATAAATGGTTTATTAGTTGTTTTTAAATCGATTAACTGATCACTAGTCAACCAAAACTATATTGAGTTTGGGAAATTCGACTGTACTGAGTGGAACCGCGATGTTTATGTCTAGTTTCGATATGATTATTAGCTGCTAGATCATTATTTTTATAATTCAATTTCTACAAAGCTTTCAATGTCAGAAAGAGTGTTTTCCAGATCTTGCCATTCTGACGTGGAATCGTTTCAGAACGAAATTATTCGATTGAGCTTAGTCGGATACCACAAATACCATACTCTCTAGAATGGCTAGTAATCAGTAGCCGACTTGAAAGCCTTTAATAAAACTGTTGAATGGAATATATTAGATGACTCAGCTTTGCTTAGATCGACAGAAAAGGATCCTTGCTATCTATTGACAAAATAAAGACTTACTCTTGGCTCAGAAATCATGATTCAAAATTTCTACGTAATGCCTACAGAAAAAATCGACTAATTTATGGTTGAAATAATTTAGCAGAGCTTCAAGTCTCCTTAAGTTTCGAACTAGTTTTATGTTTCAGATATTCAGAAAACATCGAGTTGTATTATATTTGAGTGCCACGAATAGTTTCAAATGACTCGTCTATCTTACTTACCATAGCATTTTTTGCATATATCTGATCAATAGTAACAAATGATACAAATTTACGAAATAATTCATTAAGTTCTAACCATTCTGTACATATATTTTCGAGTTCATTTTTTTTCTTTGATTCATTAGGTAGTTTAATTGATCGAGCTTTAATTATAAAATGTTTAAAAAGACAACGAAAATAAACAATAAATGTTGATTTCATATTCCATGTTGATAAATCAACAATTGCATTATCTGATGTATCATCATCCATATTTTCATGATCATTTTTTGAACCTTTTTCAGCTCGTATAAAAATTTTTAATGAATAATGTATTAATCCATCAATAATAGGATTTATTTCATTTGATTCAACATGAAGTAAATATAAATTAAGAAGTATTTCAACAGCTCGTACAGATGTTATTTTTGATAATGATATAACTGTACTTGAATTAATATCAAGACTACATTCTTCTAAAAATTGACGACATTTAGCAGTAAATATTTTGTAAAGTTCATCCTTAAAAAGAAAACAATATATATTGAAGTTAAAAAATGAATACAATAATAATTTTTCAAAATACGACAAATGTCATGTTCTTATGTTAAAAGAATAAAAAAACATGAGAATTTATGATCTCATAGATGGAAGAATATCCATGCTTTTCAGCTACCTTGTGGTATAGGTTGCTATCTAGCAGCAGATTAAATAGCCTGATACTTTGCTTACAACTATAACTAGCTATAAGTCTGAAAAGAAGGTAGTACTTAATAGATATAGAAGACTATATAAAGAAAACCAATCTTTATTAGTTATTGGCAATATAACTAATTTTAGTTCTAAAAGTTAATATCGGATCAACTGAAACACTAAAGATGAAGCTGTTTTATTACTTTATAACGTCAAATACTATTATAGAAGCTCTGTACAAAGTTTTTGTTTTTATCTTCTAAGAAATATGTTTGAACCGATTTTAATCTCAGAGATTAGGGCTACGAGAAAAAAGTTGTTTCCATCGGAACTCAAGGCATTCCCCTTCAGAAAATCGATTTTTTCTCAAAAAAAGATACTTTTTTAGAGAAATATATAGGCACGAGTACTAAGATATCTAGTTTGCAAATGCATGAGAAAAGCTCTCGATTTTTAAAGGTTTTTTCAGAAATCATGATGAATTTCTAGTACTCTCTAGTGAAGAGACCAATATCATATTTATAGTAAAATCTCAAGTGCCATCTCAGTTACGGCCCCTTATCGGCGCCCAACGTGTAACTAGAAGGTCACTCCATAACATTCTAGATCAATTTTTAATTGGTACGTAATACAATCATGTTTGATGCTCATATCAGAAAGCTCCTTAGATAAGTATACAAAAAAAAACTCTCAAAAACTTCTTTTGCATCGATTGTTAAATTCTGAACAAATTTCTTTTTGATAACGTTCGTTCTAGTGAACTGTGATTTTTAATCTATTAGATACTAAGAAAAACCGTCGAAATAGGGAATAGTGAATTCGTGCCTATTAACATGAGAAACAAAGTATTTACTCAAATATGAGAGATGCTAACAAAAAAGTAAACAACTTAGATTATTATTAATCTCTTAAAAAACGTACTTGATGTGTTTCTTCATCAAATAATTGAATAAATAATTCCAGAGATTGACAAAGACGAGTTGAATCAATCAAATTAAGAATATCAGTAAATGAAAAAAATTTTTTTAATATTCGTACACGTTCATTTTCTTGTTCATGTTCTTCTTTTCCTTTTTCACTTATTTTTTTTGTTAATAAAATATGATTCATAAGAATTTTTAATAAATAATTTAAACATGTTTCATCTTTATCTAAATCTTTTTGCCAATTTATTTGTTTAACTTTAAATAAACTTAATAAAAAATAAAAACTATCAAGTGCATAATAAAAAGCACGACTAGCTATATCACGACTTTGATCACGATCAATTAAACAATTTATATCATCATCTGTATCCATGGATTGATTTGCACTATCATCATTTGTTGTACTCATAAACATATGAATATATTTCATTGTATTTATAGCTTGTATTAAAAACATTTCAAAATATTCTAATGTCATAAAATCAAGTTTATCATCATTATTTTCTTCAAAACTTTCATCACTATTATCATTATCAACACGTATTTGTTGAGTTTGTAATGTTGTTGGTGCTGTATGAGTATCAAAACGTTTTTTAATTATACCTATGGATGATATTGATAAATTATTGTTTGTTAATAAACGATGAAGATCACCCATTAATGTTGATACACAACGAAGAATAATTAAACGTTGTTTGCCATTACTTTTTGGTAAACGTTCAAGATATTTTGATATATATGGAAATGTTATATATTCAAGAGGACGTATATCAAATTCATATATATCAAATATTGATGATTGTTTTGATTTCGTTTCTAAATAAAAACAAAAATATATATTAAATTATAATGAATGCACCATAAGTAATGCTCTCCGAGTCATATTTATCTTGCCTATGTTTCATTGTAACATTAAA